CCATCTTGGCCTTGGGAAGAGGTTTAGCTTTTCTGAGCCTTGGGTTCACCTATCTTTGCAAATGTTGAGTTTAATTGGATGATCTCTACATGTCCTTCCAGCTCCTGCAGTCTACCAATGCATAGAATTGTCCCTGAGGATCTGGGAGCATCCGTAAGAGAATCTCTTCCCAGTCTCCTAGAGGGTGTGAACTTGAGCCTGAATGGGGTGTCATCCCTTCCTTCTGCTTTTACTGATCCAAAAAGAAGTGCTACACAGTACTTAAAAAGAACACAAGGTTTAGCATCAAAAGATCTGAGTCTGAATCCAGGCTTTCCTGCTTAACAGCTATGGGAATTTGAGCAATCCCACTAGCCTCTATGAGCCACTTCTCATTTGGGAAATGAGGATAACATATCACTGAGCACACAGGACTGTTGTGGGGAAGAACACGACATGAATGTGAAAGTGGTCTATAAACCAAGAGTCTGTCTACATGGAAAGTGTCTGAGCCAGACAAAGCACATCATGAGGGCACTACTCACTTTGCATACTATTCCACAAGCTATGTGGGAACCTTTGAACTACTCAGCTGTGCTCCTCCTCCATAGAAAGAAGTGATAGAACCTGCAAGGGTCTCAAGAGTCAATGTGTTCTGATAAAGTCCAAAGAGGCTATAAACTCTATAAATCTTAGGATGCATAGTAAAGAACTAATAAGAACCATCCTCTCAAGGACAATTATAACTTGAAAAAATAAACAAATGGGACTACATCAAATTAAAAAGCTTCTGCATGGCCAAAGAAACATCAAAATGAAGAGGGAACTGACTTTTGGGAGAACATATTTGCCAGTGATACATTGGACAAGGGTTTAATCTCCAAAATATATAAAGAACTCATACGACTCAACACCAGGAAGACAAACAATCCAATTAAAAAGTAGACAAAGGATCTGAATAGATACTTCTCCAAAGAAGACATAAAGATGGCCCATAGACATATGAAAAGATGTTCAACATCATTTACCATTAGAGAGATGCAAATTAAAACCACAATGAAATATCACCTCATACCTGCCAGAATGGCTGTCATTAATAAATCAATAAACAAAAGTGCTAGTGAGGATGTGGAGAAAATGGACCCTAGTGCATTTTTTGTTGTGAAAAACAGTATCAAATTCCCTCAAAAAATTAAAAATGGAACTGCCTTTTGACCCAGTGATTCCACTGCTAGGAATATACCCTAAGAATCCTGGAAAACCAATTCAAAAGAACTTATGAACCCCTATGTTTATAGCAGCACTATTTACAATAGCCAAGTGCTGGAAACAACCTAAGTATTCATCAGTAGATGAGTGGGTCAAAAAACTGTGGTACATTTACACAGTGGAATATTATGCAGCATAAAGAAGGAACTCTTATCTTTTACAACAGCATGGGTGGAACTAGAGAATATTATGCTAAGTGAAATACGCCAGTTGGTGAAAGATAAATACCACATGATCTCACTTATAAGGGCAATCTAATGAACAAAATTAACTAATGAGCAAAATAGAAACAGAGACATGGAAACATGGAACCAACTGACAGAGGCCAGAAGGGAGCAGAGTTGTGAGCCACTACAGAGCTGGACCTCTCCCAGACCTGTAAGCTGTTTTCCCCACTTAGCAACCAGAGTCAACCATCTCTTCAAAAACTGCTTACCCAGGAAGCTGGAGAGAGTCAGAAAATTTCAGCCAACAGGGTACTGAGGCTCTGAGACACCTTCTGGGCCCACACTCTTAAGAGAAAACTGTTCCCCCTCAAACCAACCACTCTAAGGGCTTCCAAGCTCTATGCCTGCCCTGCCAGCACTCCCAATCCCCTACCCTGTGTCCACTTTATTCTTTACAAGTCACCTATTGCCCTTTCTCCCTCAGTCAGGACTGTTGTCAGCATTCAGTCATGAGAATTCATTTATAGCTTTAGGTATTCAAAAATTGTGATGAGCAGGCTTCTATCACATTGAGGATTTCCCAAACTCAAGAGCTGTAACCTCCCCTCAGACTAGGGATTGCCTGGACACAGGGTTCATGTCTCCCTCATACCATGGCTATTGTTAGTCAATGGGTCTCAAGAATCCCTTCCAATTCCACCAGGATTTATGGAAGACCTATTAATGCTGTGCACCACCCTGGGCACTGTGAAACATTTGCTTTACAGTCTGTCCCCTCTAAGGATGTATGTCCAAGCAGAAACCATGTCCTAATCTGTCAGACTGCAGATCCCAGACCTGCCAGCAAGCACAGTCAGAGTTAAATGTCTAAAAGGTATAAATCTTAAAAGTCTGACATGCCAAGTTTTACATAACTCAAAATACCTAAGTGTACTAATTCTACAAGCTTCCATCATTTTCTTGCTGATATGCTAAATAAAGATCAGCAATGGCTATCCATATAGATATCCCTTTGGGACTACTGCTGGTCTAGAGGAATAAATTGGGGAACCAGGTTCATACAATCACACCTCAGGCAAAGTTAACTCAAGCCGAGAACCCAAGGATCTGGCACTGCTCTCAAGACTATATTGAATCAGCCTCTTCTACGTGTTAGCAAAGTAGATGTACTAGTTGGAAGGTTTTCCTAACGAAACACCACTATACAGGATAGCAGAGACAGTCAAGGAGTCACTCCCTTCCCCAAATCTACCAAGGAGATCCATGCACAGCTTTGAAAGGCTTTGGCCTCTTCCTTCATGCTTAGCACAGTGTCCAGTACACTTGTGTTGGCTAGATTAATGAAAGAAAAAAAACTACACTCCTCAGTCTGATAGAAAAAAAAATTATACCTTTTTTTAAAAGACATACAGCCTCCAAATTAATATTGGCAACTTGAAAACTATTAACTCTTTGAGGTCACTCGCACTTAAGGTGCCCAAACTTTTCAATGTCAAGAAAAGTAACATCGCCCTCAAAAAATATATGTATGGCCTGGCTGGTATGGCTCAGTGGATTGAGCACAGGTCTGCAAATTGCAGACAATTGCAGTTCGATTCCCAGTCAGGGCACATGCCTGGGTTGCAGGCCAGTTCCCAGCAGGGGACCCATGAGAGACAACCACACATGATGTTCTCTCCCTCTCTTCTTCCCTTTCCCTCTAAAGATAAATAAAATGTTTTTTAATGTGTGTGTGTGTATGTGTGTGTGTAGTAACCAATATATAATAGCCAAATTTTCATTTTGATAAGGACATGAAAGAAATGAAATTTCCTGTCACTATCACTTTTAAAATAAATGGTATTTTAACACCAAGAAAAAAGTAGAAAGTTCATGATTTCAGAATGAAAGATTTTCCTTCTCAAGAACACACCACTGATATACTTTTAGTTACATTTTCCTAAGAACTATAGAACACACAGATGAGGCTAACATGGGCCCACAGATCAGTGCTAAAACATGGTCCATGTGAGCTCCCCTTCTCTAGTACAACTCAACTGAAAAAACTGTTCTTTTTTGTACCCATGGCAATCATCTAGTTGGTAGCTGTTTCCTTGCAAAATCTCCATGTGCTTCAGCTTCAAACTGAGAAACCTGCCTTCCCCAACAGATGCCAACTCCCTCTCCTGGCTATTCTCCGAGGAGGGAGTACCTGTGTTCACCTGGGTTCATGCTGTCCAAACTAAAACTAGTGCCACAAGTTTCCAAAGGTCACAGCCTAATCAGGATCTTTTGGATAATTAAAACTCCATCATAATTAACCATCAATTTATCATTGGAGCTATCATTATAACACATAGCTGGGTGGAACAAAGTTCAAATGTGGTATCTCAAACAATAGCAATTGAGTCCAAATGATGAAAGAAGGAGGAGCATGCTGTTCTTCAAACAAAGAGGTGATGCTACTGGCCCAGGGTCAACAAGAAAGTTTTGAGTTGTTTTCCTAAAGAAGAGCTTGCTTCAAGTCATCCATGGACTCCCTCCTTGGTGTTCAAGGGTAGTCCAAGTTAGAAACAAGAATGTATTATTATATGAGAAAACAATGAAAAGAGCAGCTTCACCTTCTACACTTTACATAAAACTATTCCCTCTTGACAGGCCCATAAATGGGCCTATTCCTATTTGATAGATAAAGTAACTGAGCTTGTTCATTCAAGTCAGAAAATACTGAGTTTCCCATGTTGCAGGTACTATTACGGTGCTGTGACTTTGCCCAAAGTGACACAGGTGGCAAATAGCAAAGGGATGCACCCAAACTCAGACACCTAACCTCAAGTCCATTTCATTCCATGGCTGCCTACTAGGCTGAGGTCACTGTTGCCACACAAGAACACATGACAACAAAGCCAAATGGCTGTGGTGGCAAGGACTACATGGTTAATCTCTAGCTTGCTCCTCTGCAAGAAAACTCAATATCTATGACCACTTTTCACAGACTCCTGCTTTTCACAGTCTCCAGGAACAAATCAAAGTACTATCCAGTGTCCTATTAGTTACAGCAGTACCCATGGTGTTCAGCCCAGAACTCGGTGCTAGGAAAAAGCTAACGGACAAGACAAAAACATCCCAGCAAAGCACATAGGACCCTGGGGAATAGACTTTGTAAAAACAGGGGCAAGTTCTCTTTAAAATTACAAGGGTTTCCTAGCAATGGGATCAGAATCCAAATTGTAGAATTTGAAAGGTTCCGCTCCTTGGACCAAGAACTGAAATCTTCGGTGTGAGTCTCTTAGGCCACCTCAAGAGTTGGGGCCATATTTCTCAAGCATGGCCCTCTGGTTATGGCATGTACCCCATGCTAGAAGTTCTGAAAACAATGTCAGCCATCCATTCTGGCTGGCCAGCCCCCTGCCCAGCCTGCCACATGGTTGCATCAGAGAATGGGCAAGTCACACACTAGGCTGCCCATCTCAAGAATGTCAAAATCTTCATGAATGCTTGCAATCGCAGAGAGGTGGGGTGACAACATGGGTCATGTAATAAGAGGCTGGCCCAGATCAATAGCTGACTCACAGCTAAGATATAAAACCTCAGGAGGTACAGTGCTCTTCACACACCCAGCGTCTCCCTCTCCTCGCTCACCCTTCCTTCGGGTAAGTGTGGGTTCTACTGACCCTGGACTTTTTAACTGGTCTGGCCCAGGCCTGCATAGGCTAGGTGGAGCAGCGGGCAGAGAGGCAAGGTATCTCTCTGCCTTGAGAGCGACTGGGCCTCTGCCTTCCCAACTGCATTCATGTTTAGAGGGGATTCTGGCAGGCAAGAAAGTGGGGCTAAGCCGCTGTTGTGCAGATGGTGTTTGGTCTTCTGGCCAGAATGTACCCTTCACAAAGCAAGACTATGTCCTATCTCTCTGGTACCCCTGTAGCAGCAGACCTGGTGCTGGACACAGCGGGGGCACTCTACAGAGACTGTCCCAGAAGGCCTGTGACTGGGCTGGACCTCATGAACTTGTCGGGAGAGGCTCAGCCTATTCTCGCAAAATAGTAGGGAGAATGAGTCAGAGAATGCTGCAGATGGGGGAGATGGTAGTAACCCTGAGAATCCTGCTTTACAGAGGGAGAAGTTCTGAGAGAAAAATGAGAGAGGACACAATTTCCTATTAGCTTGGTCCCCTCAATCAAGCTTGGACTTAACAAGTAGTAAGGGTGATAGTTAATGTCATCTAATGAGATGGTCATCCAAAAGACCAATGGGGTCCAGACAGGACCACAGGGGAGCCTTCCTTTTCTAATAACTGACCCCGGATCATGGCCAAGCTCAGCGGGATAGACCAAGAGCTTGAACAGTTTCTGCAGAGAATACGGTTCAACGGCCCTCTACCTTCTGACAAACCTTGTGTTCTGAAGGGAATGGGTAAAATCATCCCCACACCCCAGGTAAAGGTTTGTGATAATCTTCTACTTGTACTCAGGAAATCATTGTTGGGATTTGAAGAGATCTTAGAGATGACGTGCTCTACCCTCTCCTTTTACAGGAATTGAGGAAACGGGTGAGAGCTCCAAAATCACACAAGAGACCAGAGGCAGAGCTGGGAGAGAGACAGAGAAAGAAATGGGCACCACTAACTAGGCTATGTAGCGAGCTGATGCTCCTCTTTTCTAAAAACACCAATCCTAAGAATTCCAGCTGAAAGTTCTCTGAGATTTGAACGGGGAGACAGCATGGAGCCTGGCCTGGCAGTGCTACTTGGGATGATGGGTTGTCATGGCTACAGCTGCCTCCTCCCCTGAATCTTCTTGTCCAGTGATGCGCTCTCTGCTCTCCTTCCACAGTTCCCTTCCTCCTCAGACGAGATGTCTCACCAGAGAAAGCAGCCCACCCCTCAGCCCCCAGTGTTCTGTGGGAAAACCTCCGGCGGCGGCGGCGGCGGCGGCGGCGGCTCCGGCTGTGGAGGTGGCTACTCCGGCGGCGGCGGCGGCGGCGGCTCTGGAGGCTGCGGAGGTGGTTCCGGCGTAGTTATCAAGTCCTCTGGCGGCGGCGGCGGCTCCGGCTGTGGAGGTGGCTACTCCGGCGGCGGCGGCGGCGGCTCCGGCTGTGGGGGTGGCTACTCTGGCGGCGGCGGCGGCGGCTCTGGAGGCTGCGGAGGTGGTTCCGGCGTAGTTGTCAAGTCCTCTGGCGGCGGCGGCGGCTCCGGCTGTGGAGGTGGCTACTCCGGCGGCGGCGGCGGCGGCTCCGGCTGTGGAGGTGGCTACTCCGGCGGCGGCGGCGGCTCTGGAGGCTGCGGAGGTGGTTCCGGCGTAGTTGTCAAGTCCTCTGGCGGCGGCGGCGGCTCCGGCTGTGGGGGTGGCTACTCCGGCGGCGGCGGCGGCGGCGGCTCGGAGGCTGGGGGTGGGCGTAGTTGTAAGTCCTCTGGCGGCGGCGGCGGTGGGTGGGGGTGGCTACTCCGGCGGCGGCGGCGGCTCCGGCTGCGGGGGTGGCTACTCCGGCGGCGGCGGTGGCGGCTCTGGAGGCTGCGGAGGTGGTTCCGGCGTTGTCGTCAAGTCCGTTGGCGGCGGCTCGTCTGGAGGCGGCTCCGGCTGCGGTGGCTACTCAGGCGGTGGTGGAGGCTCCGGCTGCGGCGGGGGCTCGTCCGGCGGAGGCTCCAGCTGTGGTGGCTACTCTGGCGGCGGCGGCGGCGGCGGCTCCTGCGAGCAGGTCACGTACCAGAGCTACGGAGGAAGCTCAAGCGGCGGCGGCGGCGGCTCCGGCTGTGGAGGCGGCTACTCCGGCGGCGGCTCCAGCTGTGGGGGTGGCGGTTACTCTGGCGGCGGCTCCGGTTGCTCTTCCCAGCAGACCACCCAGACCTCGTGCGCGCCCCAGCAGAGCTGTGGAGGGGGGTCGTCTGGAGGCGGCGGCAGTTCGAGTTGCGGAGGCGGCTCCTCAGGGGGTGGCGGTGGCAGTGGCTGCTTCTCCGGCGGCAATTCGGGTTGCGGAGGCGGCTCCTCAGGGGGCGGCGGCGGCTCCTCTGGGGGCGTCCCGGTCTGCCACCAGACCCAGCAGAAGCAGGCGCCTACCTGGCCATGCAAGTAAGGCCCTGTGGACCCCACGGGGGCGAAGGAGCTGGAGCTGTTTTCCGTGGGCGCCGATGGGCTTAGTGCTCTCATGATATTGCCTTGAGGTTTCCAAATTTATGTTTTAACCCACCTGCAACAAGTCATTGAGCATTCATGCTGCGTTTTGTTCTGCAGTTTTTCTGCCTTACTTGCTGTACAACTACCTCCCAACCCCGATGCCTCCTCAGCCAATAAATTTGCAAATCATGAGAATTTCTGGGTGTCCAGCAGTCTTTGTAACTTCCAGCTTCATTCCATTCTTTCTCTCTCTTTTTCTCCATTCCCTCGCCGATAGGTACATTCATCCAACAAATATATTTATTCTATTGACAGGGGGAGGGTAGGTGGGTAGATGAGGGTGACCAGGGGTGGGAAGAATGGCTGGTAACCAAAGATGTGAACTCTGATTTTGGCCTTAAGGTCTCAAAAGGCTCCCAAAACACAGAGATCCTGGGGGAAAAAAAAGATTTCAATAAATAGTTCCATTGCATTGAGTAGCCACCGTAGGTCTTCTCATCAAGCTCAATGGTTTTTAAAGATAGGGCTACCCTGGTCAGATGCTGTCTCATAGTCCAAAGCCTACTCTGCAAAGTCTGAAAACAAGGTAGCTGAACCTTAGGGACAACAAGTTTATGCTACGCAGGCTGACAGAAGGAATAATTGGGTCAAGTATCTGTGAGCCTCTAGAGTGTGTAAGGCTTTTACTAGGCACCTGTAGGAACAAGAAGTAGAGGAGCTGTTTCCTGCACTCTTGAAGGAGCTTCACCCAACTTAGAAAAATAAAGTGTATAAGGTGTTACACACCAGTATCAGAGCATGGGGAAACACATGAAGTTTTCCACTTAGCAAGAGAGAAGTTACCGTTACTCCACTACATAATATGGAACATCAAAAGAGATGTAGAACATCAGCCAGGTCAGAAACTTTCAAGGCTCTATTTCATCTCCTGATTCTATGTGCCCTAAGTAAATGCCAATGTATGAATTTATTCAATGCAAAATACCTGCTAAATTTTTTTTAAAAAGCATTATTTCTACCCATTCACACTTGGGTAGAAAGAATTGGAACAGAAGGACAAATTATCTTTCTCAAGCTCTTCTATTTACAGTCACTACCACCTTCATCATTTTACAACAGTAACTTATGAAGATCAAAACAGGTATGAGCTTTAAAGATATAATAGCCCAACCATTGCAAAATGTGTGTGTGTGTTTTTAATTAAAGGAGAACTTTTAGCTCTGTCCAGATGTAGTAGATGTATTTTCCCTGTTAATCCTGCTAACTATAGCTAAAATATCAAGACTTAATGTATAAAACAAATATAAGAAGAGTCATAAAGGTAGAAAGAATAATGGCAAAGTAGGTAGAGTCTTCAGAACTTGAGAAGTGACACAACGATAGTTGCCTAGGTTTTCTTTAAACCTCTATATATCCCAGATTTGGCACCAGAAAGTCTGCAACCAAGAAATGCCAACAGGTGCAGACAAGAAATAGTCCTAAGAAAATCTGCTTTCTTTACCCAAAGATCTGGAAAGAGACCTCTTCCAGCAATATCCATCCTACTTTAGCCAAACATCATAGAAAAAATGAATAGGAATATGAGACTTAACACCTGTTCCCAGTGGTAAAGAGATAACACCTTACACACATATCTAACAGACAACAGTATTATCAGAAGCCTGCTATAGTTGAAGATTTAAAAATGATAGTCTCCCAACATAATACCAAAATGTCCAGCACACAATCAAAAATCACTCATCACACAAAGAACCAGGAAAATCTCAACTTGAATAAGAAAAGACATAATTAATATATACTAACATTAAAATGATACAAATTTGGGGATTTTGTGAGTGATATTTTTTAAAAGATATAAAAATGTTTTAACAAGAAATCACAAACATGAAACAAATGAAAAAATTAAAAGTCTTGGCAAAAAAAAAAGGAGATACAAAGAAGAATCAAGGGCAAATTTTAGAACTAAAAATATAATAGTCAATTATAGAATTGAGTTCTAGAATTAAAAAAATATAAAACTGACTGGACAGGCTCAGCAGCAGAATGGAGATAACAAAGTAAAGAACCACTGACCTAAACTTCTGGTCAAGATGGTGACATAGGCAGACATGGTTCGCCTCTTTGCATAACTGCATCAAAGTTACAACTAAAATGTAGAACAACCATCACTCAGAACCATCAGAAATTGAGTTGAATGGCAGTCTGACAACTATGGAATTAAAGAAACCACATCCATCCAGATTGGTAGGAGGGGTGCAGACGCAGAATGAGCTGGCACCACATCCATGTGTGATGGATAAAAATTTGAAAGAGATATCTTAGCAGCAAGGAGTCCCAGCCCCACACCAGGCCCCTCAGCCTAGGGTTCCAGTGCCAGGAAGATAAGTCCCCACAACTGCTAGCTGCAAAAACCAGCAGAGGGTGAGTTGCTGAAAGAAACCTATGGAGGCCCAAGCAGTTCCTCTTAATAAACCCACGCATGGACTCACCTACTCAGACTCACTCCATCTGAGCTTCAGCAGTGGGGTGGAAGCTTGAAGGGCACCAGTGGCACACTGGGAGACGCTGAAGTGTCTGGCATCAGGGTGAGCAGAGGCCATTGTCCCTTTTATGACCCTTCCTCCCAAAGAACCACAAAGCCATCAGGCTGGTGTATATCTGAGACTCCAACGACCTGGCTAACACAGTCTGACCTGCCTTGCAGACCCTCAGAAACTCCACAGCACCCAACTGATGGGCCCACCCAAGTTGCTTTTCCATATGAATGGCTGGTCTCAGCTCATACTGTACTACTTCCTAAATCCTCTCAAAAAAAAAAGCAACAGCTGGCCTCAGTGAGCACCAGGTACAGCACTAGAAGCAGCCAGACCAGATTCATAGCTTGGCTTCGCCTGGGAGTCTCCAAGCCCAGCACAAGTAGCAGCTATCTCAGATTGCTTTATAGCTCATGCAGGGTGGCCCTGGGCAAAACACAGGTGGGGGCTGACCTTGGCCTGCACCACCAGGAAAACCAGGAAGGCCAGCACTCCCAGTGGACAGCTACAGACCGTGTCGGAGCACCACCACCCTGCCCCTACACAGCTGTCCTCCACACAGGGTGGAAGTTCATGATCAGTGGTCAAGGTCAGTCCTTGCAGCACACTGGCCTGGGTAAATCCCTCTCATTGATCTGCCAACAGCAACCAAAGCTCAAGTTTAAGAAGGGGTATACTCAGCCCACATGAAGGGCACTCCTCAAATACCCTGCTTGGGTAATAGTGTTCCAGGAAAATGAAGCAACCAGACACTGAGGGTTTCTGGAATACGAGGTTTTATTAACGTGTACAGGCCCAGAGGAGTCAGTATCCAAATTCTGAGCCCCGAACAAAGGATTCTTGGGGTTTTTATAGTTTACAGGGTCTTCTTGTCTACGTAGCAAACCCGGATACAGAAGCGGAATGCGGAAGTTAGTTCTAGCTATGGGACAGAAGCAGAGTACAAAAGCTAAATTCGAAGGTCGGTTTTTATCAGCAGTGGTGTTAATCTCAGTCCTAGCTAATGCACTGTTGTTTACTTATCCTAGACAGCCCCATCATTCTCCCTAGGGTGCCTGGGGCCTGGGCAAATAAAGGTTAAACAGAGGTTCTTTAAAGTTTCCCATATCAATAGGAGAGGCTGTGCCACTGGACCCTACAGGACTCAGCACCAAGGACCATTGGTTGACATATCTCATTCAAACAGTGCACATTCTGTGGTTTAGTCTAAAATAATAAATGAATACCTCAACATTTAAGTACTCAACACACATCTTGAGAAATAATTAGCAATAGTTTAGAAGCTTGTTGAGTGTCTTTTCTATTACATCCTCCAATCTCATCTTGCCCTAAGTCTGTGATAATCATCTCCTTAAATTTTACAACACGTGTATATGGCTACATCATGCAATAATTCATTTTGACCATGTTTTATTTATATAAATAGGTTAATACTTTGTTATTTTCTATGATATGCTTACTTTACCCAACATTAAGTTTTTGAGATTCATCAATTTTGAAGCATAAAATTATTAAATTTTTACTGCTGCATAGAATTCTACTTGTGATTGTAGTACAATATATTTATTGTACTGTTGAATTGTTTTTCAGGTTTTACAATGCTACTATGAACATTTTTGTACATATTTCTTTGGGTCCATGTGCAAGTTTTCATGGAATTAGCAGAATGGCCAGATGCTGTGTTATGCACATTTACTTTATCAAGTTGCGAATACCATTTATTTTTTTAAATGGTTTTTGCAATTTACATTTACATTAGCATTATATAAAAGTTCTTGTTTCTCCACATCCTCACCAATATAAGGTATTGTCAGAAATTTTAATTTTTACTAATTCATGGATATTTTATTATGGTTTTAACTTCAACTTTGGTTTCTTCTGCTGTTCAGTTTTAGATTTCTTAAATTATATAGTAAGCTCAATTATCACCATGATCACTAATGGTACTAAAATTTTTTTATATATTTATTGGACTGTTTTCTCTATCATGAAATGTCTATTCACATATTTTGCCTATTTTTCTATTAGGTTGAATCTGGTTGAATCATAAGAGTTCTCAGCATATCATGGATAATAATCCTCTGTCAGTTATGTGTATTACAAATATTTCTCCTTGTTTCTAGCTTATCTTTTCTGGCTTTATGGTATTCATATGTGTTTTAAAGATTTTATTTATTTTTAGAAAGAGGGGAAGGGAGGGAGAAAGAGAGAGAGAAACATCTATGGGTGGTTGCCTTTCATGTGGGTCCCTCTGGGGACCTGGCCCAAAACCCAGGCATGTGCCCTAACTGGGAATCGAACTGGCAACCCTTTGGTTCACAGCCTACACTCAATCCACTGAGCTACACCAGCCAGGGAGTATTCATATTTTTTTGAATTCACAACAAGTAGGCTATATTTACTGAAAATTAATAGAACTAAGTCATGAAAATAGAAGAAGTGCCTTTGTCTTTCAAACACTGATTCCTCAAATTGGAATTCCTCAAATTGGTGAGTCCATTTCCTCAAATTGGTGAGTCCATTCATAAGCTTTCAATGTTAAGATAAACAGATTCTCTAATATCTCTTCCAAATTCTAAAATTTCATAAAATTTTTTTGGATTTTCTGTGTAGTTATATTTTCTGTGATTTG